ATGATAAGGAAGAGAAAGAAGATGACGACTTGGAGATGGAAATGGATGAAGAGGATGATATTGATGATATTGATGATGAGTTGGATGACGAAGAGTTGGCCCAGCTGGACGATGCTGAGGACGATGATGACTTTGACGAGGACATTGAGTTTGATGAAGACGAGGAGGTAGAGCTTGATGCTGAGCAGTTTGCTAAGATACAGAAAAAGATTGAGAAGGAAGAAAAGGAGTTGAAGAGCAAACAGAAAAAGGGTGCTCAGCAGGCAAAGTNGATTGAGAAGGAAGAAAAGGAGTTGAAGAGCAAACAGAAAAAGGGTGCTCAGCAGGCAAAGTCTTCTACATCTGAGGCAGGTGGTGCAAAGAGAAAGAAGAAGAACAAAAACAAATCAAACAAGAAGCCTCGCAAGCTGAACAGTGATTTGCAGCTTGAGGGTGCCTTTGACCTGTCCTCTGACGATGATGCCTGAAAGGACAAACTTTTTCCATTTTGTAATATAAAATATTTTAAGACTTATATTCTTTTTAGTACTTTTCATTATTCTAAACTGCAGAAATATTAAAATGTTTTTAAGTATTTTGATAACTGCTTAGTGTAGTAGTGGTTTCCCCGTTCTTGACCAGACTTTGATGACCAGAATCACTGAATACAAATGTTCTCTGCACACGCAGCAGCGCTTGCTTAGCGTGCAAACTGAGGACTATTTCACTATTGTTCTCAAGGGAAATGCTAAGGAGACCGTGAATGTACTTTTCTCATGCAGAGACATCATAATAATACAAAAAGCTAAATGAATAAAACATCTGTGTATAAAAGTCAATTTTTTATTTTTAAAAGTACTTTTCCTAAACTGTAATTAGCATTTATTTAAAGAGTGAAGCCGTACTGTGCAATTAGTGTGATTAGTTCGCTTTACCACACTGAATGATTTTATTTTTCTTTCTTTTTTTTAACTTTGAACTGATTACCCAGCCTCGTCATCATCGATTACATGCTTCGGTTGAAGTTTTGTCGAGTGGTGTTGAGCGGTATCACTCAATTGACACCAGCAGTCTGTTTGAGGGCAATAATGCAAATGTCGTCGGTGCATTGATCAGTAGTACTGACGGTCTCTGAAGCGTGTCGTCTCTGTCATAGTGTGACGTACTAATTTGTACTGATTAGATTCATTACCGCAAACTAGTGAAGCTCATTGAGTGGTGCTCAAAATGAGTGCATGTCGATCAGCTGGCAAACACACAACGCCTAATTGAGAGTGGGAAAGACTGAAAACGGCACACTAATCGACCCAATCGAAGGGGCGCCTCTTTTTCATTATCACACCAGATCGATTGTCTGATTCAATTGAATCAGTTCAATGAATTTTGAATCATTTTCAAATGTACTATCTGTAGAGTAAATAGTGCAACTACTTTAAAATATAAACGTTTTTAAAAAATAGTTGTAATCTTGAAAGGTGAATGCGCTCCGAAGGGTTTTCCGATTAAACCTTTAATGACCAACGAATAAAGTTGGCCGGGTCGAGGGTCTCTTTTTGAGGAAAGATTGCAAGGCTCTGTAATGGAGGGCACCAGATGCCAGCACGACAAGTTCTCTCCGTAGACAGAGAACGGGAAAAGGGCGCTCTGGTGTGCGCGCATTCGTTCAGTCATTCGAGTTCATTTGGCGCCAGCAGCCGAAGTGGCCGTCGTCGGCAGTCAGCGTCTTCTCGGTCCGCATTTAGCAACAAATCCCCAACTCGTGCACATCGTCGTTTTGGTCGTCGACTTCGTCTCGCTGTCGGCAATTCTGCAGCTGACAAATTCTCTTCCTGCTTTCACTGCTTTTTTGTCTGCTTTACTTCTATTATCTCCTGTGCTTCTGCTTTGGTACGACACACACTATTCTTTCTCTGGTTCTCCAATTTACTCTTTGCAGCAGGCAGTCGGCCACACGCATTCATTAGAATCGTCCCCGTCTGCTTGTCTCGTCAAATATTGAAGATACCGATAATACTGTCTGCTTGATTACGAAAATATTCTTTCAGTGTCGCCCACTCCTGATGATTTTTAATTTAAAAATGTGGACTTCAATTAAAGTTTAGTGCTAGTGCACACGTACTAGTGCACTCAAATCAACTGTTCAGCTCAGTGGAAATGATTCCCCTCTCCGGTGTCACTGAAACATCAGTGTCATCCGATGCCTGCTCGCCTACTACTCAACTACGGGCTACACTTTGCAACTAATCATCAAGTTAATTAATTACTCATTCGGAGCTTAATTAAAGACTTTATTAATAAAACCATCATCATCATTTTTGTCTATTTTGCTCTTCATCTTTCATTCGCTCTCCATTTTCAGTCGCGTGGCTGCTGAAAAAGCTGCGCTTTTCATATCGTCCACTTGATCGCTTGCATTGTTCGATTGGCTCTCGCTGCCAAATGTGCACCGTCGTCTTTATATTTCCTGGTCCACTCGGTGCTCCATTGTGTGCGTTGAGTGCATTCCACCGCCACCACATTCACACGGCGTCCTCGCATCTTCAATCCCTCCTTGACTCACTCAAAGAAACCCTACTACTTCTCTTTATTCTTCCTGTTAACCCGATAACAATCACATGCACATTTGTAAGCAGAAGTGCAAAGCTGCGCCAAGTGTTCTGCTAATTCAAGCTGCCACTGCAACATGGTGGTGGCCACCCAAGTGGCCCCTTGCCAGTCCATCGGTGAATCGGTAATTGCGTTTTCATCTGTTTTCACTGATAGTAAACTGATCCATTTAGTACTCGGCACTAGTATCACCATTT